TAGCAGCATCCTGGGCCTCTGCGCACTAGAGGCCAGCAGCAGCCCCTCTCCAGTGCCTCCAGACATGTCCCCTGGGAGGCGGGGGCGGAATTATCCTCCATCAAGAAACACCGGTTTAGATGAACCATTCCCAGTATTCGCAACTCCTTTTAATGGTTCTACTCCTTTCAAGGGAGTTTTCAACTGAACAAACTTCATTAGTTAAGTGTTCATTTCTCAACGTTCTTAAAACTCTCCGCCCGTTGGGGTTTCTGATCTGTGCCACGAAGCAGGGTTGATATCATTCTGGCCAGTATCGAGCAAAGAAGCAGCTTGATATTTTAGGGGCCACCTACGGCCTAATGGAAAAGAGGGTGCAGTTTCTGGTCGGTTTTTTGACTGATTGAAAAATAACCCGAAGACCCCCGCTGAGGAACCCTGAGACCCAGTGGGAGTTGCTGGTACACACTTCCGTTTTGCCGTCTGAAGTCAGACATTTGGATCAAATGGCCTTGAAAGGCCCCTTGGAGCTCCAGCTCTCTCCAGCATTCCCCAGACGTCTTCTCCGCATTCAGCCTCTAGCAGTGTTATTTATTATTCAACTCATATTTAGTTAGCGCTTGCCACGTGCCCGCTGCTTCCCCGGGCGTAGTCACTGCACCAGCGGGGATCATGGCCGAGTGGGGCACACAGGTGACAGCAGCAGGCTAAGAAATAGATCATCGAATTTCCAGCGGTGGTCACTGCTGAGAGAGAGGTGCGACCCGTTAATGTGCTGGAGAGGATGGTCTCTGGAATTCCAGGGCCCTGTAAGGTCAGGTGGCCCTCTGGCCACCCCTGCCCTCCCGCCCAGCCTTGCTTGGCTCCCTTCTGGATAATTCCCTGTATTCATTGTCAGGGCCTGGTTCCCCTTAGTTAGAGCCAAAATCCTTTATTGCTTGGAGGAGTATCTGGCAGGCTCTGTCCTGCTAATTGAGAGACGTTTCTAAGAAATAGTGAGGGCCAGTTTCACTAGGCACAATGAGACGAGGGACCTTGAACCTGGCCTGGTTGAATTAGGTCCCTGTGACTTTGGGAGTAAAGATGGCAGTTTCTTCCCTCTCTGAAAGTCTTCAGCCAAGGTCTCAGGACACAGGAGGCACCTGGTGGTGACTTTGAGCCTTTGTGCTCAGGGCCAGTCAGAGGGAGGGGAAGGGCCACAGGGGGGTGGGGAGTGGGAATCAGGTCCCCTTTGACACGCCCTCCACTTGGCATTGTGTGTTTGCCTCTCCTCTTGGCCACTGGAGGCTCTTCCCCAGGCCTCAAGCACCGGCTCTTCTTTCTGTCTTTGTCCTCTGGGTGTGTGACAAGGTGGCGGCTTGGCAGCAAGCTCCTGGAGGTGGCCGAGCACCTGCATAGGTTTCTCCCCTCTCCTCCTTCCTCCCGCTGTCCTTACCTGGGAGCCAACGATTTCTTTTTCCTCTTAACGTGTAATCTGGAGAACAATCCACACCAGCTGCCTTAGGGATTGTTTTCAAAGACAAATCCCCGCCTGAGCCCTCCTCTCCTTTAGTTAACACCCTTGAGTGACCCCTCCCCTCCCGTTGTCCTCAGGTTAATGCCCCAGTGTCTTCATGGTCATTGTGTGGCTTATAAGGCTCTAGTGGGTCCTGGCTGGGCTTTAGGGAATGCCTTATTTGGGCACTGGGAGATGACCAGACACCACCACCCACCCCACCTCAGGAGGGAAAGGTGGTCTAGACACCGAGAGCAGGAAAGATGCAGGGATGAAATGGCTCGAAGGGCATCATGGTAGCGACGTTGGCCCTTTTTCTGTTGAGAAGAGGTCCTTGCGGACTTCTAAGCAGGTCAGACTCGCGTTTTAACCTGATCGTTAGAGCTGCTGTGCCTCAGATGGACTGGAAGTGACAAAGCATGGAAGCAGAGACCAGTTCGAACACTGTTGCGCTGATCCAGGGTATGGCGGGAATCCAGGCAGTGGCAGAGAAGACTATGAGAAGCGATCAGATTCGAAGGTATCGTGAAGGTAGTTTGCTGTGGAGTACATATGGGGTATCGGAAGAAGGCTGATCCCAAGGCTTTACCTTGAGCAGGTAGAAAATGTGTTTTCACTTATTCGTATGGGTGTTGGCGAGGGGAGGGGGCGTGTTAGTTTCGTGGGGGGCGTGGAGTTGTGACGTTTGAGATGTTCCTCAGGCAGTCAAGTGTAGGTGTTCAGGAAACAGCAGGATACAGGAGTCTAGAATGCGAAGGTTAATTTTATGTGTCATCTTGGGTAGGCCATGGTGTCCACACATTTGGTCAAACATCGGTTCAGATGTCACTGTGAAGGTATCTGTTTGGCTGAGATGGACATTTACGTCCGTAGACTTTGCGTGAAGCAGATGACCTGCCACAATACGGGTGGGCCTCGTCCAATCAGTTGAAGGCCTGAGAGCAAAAGACCGAGGTCCCTGAGGAAGCGGGGATTGTGCCAGCGGACTGCCTTCAGACTCGAGCTGTCGCATCCGCTCTCCCGGGGTCTCCATCCTGCTGGCCTGCACTGCTCATTTTGGACTTGCCAGTTTCCACAACTGTCTCTTTCTCTCTCCATATGGAGGGATAGCAATATAAATATAGGTATAGAGATCTTATTGCTTCTTTCTCTGTGTCTCTGGAGACCCCTCACTCATACATGAGGTTAAGGGATAAACATTTCGGTCCATACTTGCAAGTTACGGTCGTTAAGCCTTGAGACTGGGTGGGATCACCGTGATGGCAAGTGTGGGCAGAGAGGAGCAGTCCGTTGGGGGGGGGTCTCCTCACAAGCCAAGAGATTCCGAAACCACGCGTGTATGTGATATTCACTGAGCACTTACCCTGCGCCGGGCGCCCCCCATGCTGGGATGCTGCCTCTTCTTAAAACTAGAGCTGTCCCCTTATCTGTCTGGAAGTCTGGGAAATGATCTCCATGGAGACACCTATTTATTTGACCGATGTTTTGCATTTCTTGTGTCTTGGCCCCTCCCGGGTTCTGGGAAGCAGAATGGCATGCAGCCATTCCTTTCCCTGTGTCAGAAATTGATTATTCCAGCATCTTCCTTCCTGGCCCCTGTCAGTCTCCCTAACCTCCAACCTCTTGAAGCTGTTGAGTGTCTCTCGGTACTTGAGTAATCCTATTTATTAAAACAGGTGGAGCCTCCTTACTGGCCAGTGTTAGTAAAAATAGTTCTGCAGCCCCAAGGGGCCGGGTCATTGAACTTAGTGACTTGTCAGAATCTTGGCGTGAAGAATGAAAAGCTCAGGCTCCTGGCGATGAAGTTCCCTCACCCTTTGTTCCTTGTTTTCTTTGTGAGGCAGAATGTTTAACCCACATTTTCCAAGAACTGTGTAGGTGGGTTGCTGGGGACAATTGATTTTTAGGGAAGTATTGTACCTCTGGATGTGGAAACCACGAGGCCAAGAGTACCGTTGAGCAAGAGTTGGCCCGATGACTGGACCTCGGCTAATTGCGGCGCCACGTGTTTGGGCCACTGTGTCGTATGAGGCGTGACTTCTGCCTGAGCTGGATTTTATTCTGGAATCAGGGTGACCCGGGGAGCCTCATTCTAGCCAAATGTCAAGTGGACCGTCTGCTTCCTGAGGCCGTGACTGGTTCTCAATGAGAAGAGGTATCTCACCTGGCAGGCAGCAGGGACACACATGGGTTTATGTGAGGAATGCTGAGTTCTGGGTCCCACCCTGCCCCTGGCTTGCTGTGTCACTTTGGGCAAGTCTCCTCACCTCCCTGAGTCTCGGTGTCTTCGTCTGGGATGAGTTTAGGTTAGGTGGTCTCTGCGGGGTAGCCAGTGGGAGCGTGCCTGCTCTGGATAAAGGGCCGTTCCTCCCTCAGCATCCAGGTAGCTATTGATTATGTGGGACCAGTGTTGCTCCATTAATTTTTGGACTTTATAATGTAATGAGATTTCCTGAATTTTAGAGGCGGGCAATGAATTCAGAAACACTTACAACATCCCGTGGGTGGTACCTATAGCCAGTTAGAGCCCATCGGTCTTCAGTTTGTAACTCAGTGTAGCCGAATTGCTCTTCATGGGTCATCACAGGCTGGGGGCCAGGAGGTGAGGGGAGCTCACTGGGTTTATTTTGTTCCCAAATCAGTACACGTAATTTTTGAGGAACAGGGAGCGGGAAGCAAAACCGGACTGGAAACTGGGTCACAGGATCGCTGGTGCCGAGAGACCTAGAGACAGCATGGCCTTCCTTTCCTCATGGGCGGAAATGACAGCCTGAGGCAGTGCGCTGGGCCGGCTCGTCTTCTGATTAACCCACCCTCCTCTCCCGCTGGCTCAGCCCCGGGCCTGTCCCTGGCTCCATGGACTCTGTGGCATTTAGAGCTGGAGGAAATAACATATTTCAGCAGACTCATTTTCCACTCAGCAGTATATCTCGTAGATCCTTTGTGTGTGTGTGTGTGTAGGCGTGTACACATACATTATTTTTTAAGTGCTGCATAGTAGTCCCTGTTTTTTTTTCCAGCTGTTCCTTATTCATGGACATTTTGCTTTTATCCATTTTCCCCTCTTTAGTTCCCCTGATGTCATGGAATTTCTTTTTTCACTCATCGTACACTCCACATCTCCCTCCATTCTTCCCTTCCTCCCTCCCTCCCTTCCTTCCTTCTGTCTCTCCTTTCTCCTTCCATTGCAGCCATGCATCTCTGGGTCCATTTATCAAGGATGCTGTCCCTACAGACGCTAGGTGGGTGGATGGGCCAAAATGCCCAGGCCTTGCCTCCAGGGCTCCATTCTGAGGGACGGCCAGAGAAGAGGGATATGATGGTGATTCTTGGCAGCAGGTGCTCAACGGTCTTTTAAAGGAGCTCTTTCTGCCTGTGGGATGTGAGCATCTCAGAGGCAGAAGCTGGTCTTTCAAAGGAGCGGTCAGTCAGCCTTTGGACCAATATTATCATGTCCGCTTCCTGGGACCTTCTTGGATCTTCATCGGCTGCCAACTCTCCTTTTTTTTTTTTTCCCCATTGCTAGCGGCTGTGGCTTGAGCAGAAAGCTGCCAGGGTAGGCTGTGGAGTGATGGCCATGAGAACAGGTAAGTGCCGTCATGTCTGGAGGGGCGGGCGTTCGGGGGGACGGGATGGGAGAGAGCAGACCTTTGAACAGAGTTGCATATCGGGAGCCAGTCTAAAGTGGGTACAGAGCCTCAGGGCCTCTTTCGTTGAGGAAATGAAGTTAACACGAACGGAGCAGCTGTGAAGGCGGCGCATATACCAGAGACGGATGCAGAGAGGGAGAAGGGCCCGATCCGCGTCGCTTTGTTTCTCGGACGGGTTTCCCACGTGCGTCTCACGCAGAAGCCGCGCCTGTGCCTCCCTCTCCTTCGTCCTCCGCGGATGTTCTTTCTCGGGCGGCCTCGTGACAGCGATCGCGGTATTGACCTGCAAAGCGCCGCTCGCCAGCGGATGGAGTCCTGACGGGGAAGAGGCGGTAGCGCTGGTTCAGAGCTTGGGCTGCAGAGTCTCACAGTCTCCTCTGCTCCTACCTGCCTCAGTCACCCGGACAGGTCAGTTTTGTCCTGTGTAAAATGGGGGAAGTATCCTTTTTCCTTTTAGGGCGGTCGGGGGTAGAAAATGAGGTGTTCCCCCCACCCCCATGTGAAACACCTAACCTGACCTCACCCTAGCACGGTGCCTGGCGCCATAGTAAGTGCTCAGTAAACATCACACACACGTGTGCGCGCACGCGCACACACACACACACACACACACACACACACGTCTCCTTATCCAAGAGGCCTTTCCTGGCCACTGTATGTAAACAGTACCCACCTCACACTCTCGTCTTCCTTTTTCAGTTCTTTCTTTATCGATCTTTCCAGCCCATATCGGTATCTGTTTGTTTATTAACTCTCTGTCCTCCAGTCCCTCCGAAGCCCCACGAATGCAGAAATGTCTGTTAACGTTGTCTCATGGTTTATTCCCTGGAACCTGGTGCCTAGTAAATATTTGTTGAATGGATGGGTCTCTATGTTAGAGACAACCTCTAGGCCCCGACTCCAGCCCAGAGAGGTAGAGTCACTCGCTCAGGATCTGCTCAGCTGCTGGCAATTGGTCTATCTGGACCCACAGCCTATTTTCTAATTTAAACCATTAATGCCTCCCTATTGGGCAAAACGAAAAACAGACAACAAAGCAGCACTAAGCACAGTGCCTGCAAGGCTTGGAGAACCTTAAGTGAAAGTGACAGCGCAGTGACAGCCCTCCACCAGGACCCCCTGCTTGGTGGTACCCCCGCTTTTCTGAGCAGTGCCCTTTAACCAGTGAGTGCTAACTCTTCAAGGGAAGAGACCGTCCTGAGCGGCTTATGTGGGGCGGTGCCCAGGCCTGTGGGCAGTGGCGGTGCCCAGATTAGAATGAGTCATGCCCCCCGTCCCCACACGGCTGCCAGCCCATGAGGGCACTGGGGTTCTCTGCAGCGGCCCCCAACCTTTTTGGCATGAGAGACCGGTGCCCCTGTGAGAATCCAATGCCTGCGGATCTGAGGTGGAGCTGAGGCGGTGATGCTAGTGCTGGGGAGCGGCTGCAAACACAGATGAATTTGAAGCTTTGCTGGCCCGCCGCTCACCTCCTGCTCTGCGGCTCATTCCTTACAGACCACAGTATCGGTCCATGGCCCCGGGTTTGGGGACCCCTGATCTAGAAAACGTTGAGTTCCTCGTGTGGTGCCTGTGTCCATACTCCGGGTCGCCTCTAGAATATGTCCCTTTCTCTCCTGGTTGTCCTTTCTGTGTGTGCGTGCGTGCATGTGCGTGTGCGTGTGTGTGCGTGTGTGTGCGTGCGTGTGTGCGTGTGTGTGCGTGTGCGCGCGCGTGCGCGTGTGTGTGTGTTTCCTCCAGGCCTGGGTTGGGGACTGAAGCAATAATGGAGGCAGAAACGGTCTCTGTTATCCCAGTTGTCCTCTGGTGTTTTTTACGGTTCCCATTTTTTAGATTAGGGAACCGGAAGTTCAGGGAGGTGTAAATACTGAGGCCGAGGTTTGAACCCAACCCCGAGAGGTCCCAAACGTCCTACCCCCTGCCCCCTGGCTCCTCGAATGCTATACTTGGATTCTGAACTCACCAGTTATTGAGCAATAAAGACAGGCCGAGGGGGGGCCGTGCCTGATTTCGTTTCTTCTTTGCTCATTGTGGTTTTTAAACTGTTTTCTCCAAAGGAGGGGACTGTGCCTGTGAGAGGGAGCTGGGGCGGCATATGCTTTGCCTCGTTTCCTTGCGATTCTCTGGGTTACAGCAGTGAGCTGTGGGGACGGAGCTCCCACGTTGGAGCGGCAGTGCCCGGGATTCGAGTGCAAGCCCGGCCTTCTAGTGGCCGTGTGACCTTTGTCCAGTAAGCAGTCTCTCTGGGCCTCAGTTTCTATATCTGTAGAAAGGACCCTTTCTTGGAGAGGACCCTGAGGATTTGAGATCTTAAACATGAAATGTGAGGCATGCTGCCTGGTGTATAGTTGGCCATCAACGAGTGGTGGCTATTTATTAGTATTACCATGATTATTGTATTTTAGCGTATAGTGTTGGACTTAAATGTTACTTCTCTGTCCCTCCTGAGGATGCAGACCAAGCCTTACTCATCGTGGCGCCCCCGCCTTCCAACACAGTTCTCGGCATGGGGTTGAGGGACCTTCTTCTAGGGCCTGTGAATGAATGAGCGCACGAGCACACGAATGGGCCAGTGGTTGGTCGGGGACACTGGCCAGTTGTTGGGGGACGTGTTTCCTGGAGCCTTATCCCCTGTGGTCAGATTCAGGCCAGGACAACGGCTGGGTTGTCCCATTGTTCCCAGATAACGTCCCCTATCTTAACGTCTCCACGGGGCAGCCTCGGCCACACCCTGCTGTCCTGTGCTATCGCCAGCCTCACTTGGCCCGCCGTGAAGAAGGCGCTCGTGTGGCCAGCACTGCTGCCCGTCTCCTCCCTTCCCTCGGCGATAGCAGTTGTCTAAGGGGACGTTTCTTTTCTTATTTCTTTCTTTTTATTTTTATGATGGCGACATCGGTTAACAAAATCCAGTAAGTTTCGGGTGTATCTACGCATTGCGCTGTGTGTTCACCGCCCATAGTTAGAGTTCTTTCTGTCTCTTTCTGGAACTTTCCATGTTCAGCGAGGACCTAGAAAAATGTTAAAAATGCCTTCCATTATCCTGACTCTCTGTCATGTGACCTACATCTTCCAGCTGGTGCATTACAGTCACCGTGTCTGATTGAAAAAGTCAGTCCCATCCCTAGTCTACGCTTGAGGAAACTGAGTCTTAAAAGGAATGAGATTGCTGGGGCCGCAGCCGGTGAGTGAGAGAGCCTTGGACCATCACCAGCTCTGCACCTAAGTAGCGCTTCTCCCACCGCAGGGCCCTGTGTGGTTGTGTTTGTCGGTGTTCTGTCCCCATCTGTTTCTAGAAGCGGTTTGAAGCTGGGTCACAATATTAACGATCTGGGGCACTTCCAGGCTAGCGTCTTGTGACGTCCCAGCCATCCTAGAAGGTTTGTGGCATCGGGGCATCGTCGCACCGCCCCTGTGGGTGAGAAACGGTGGCCTGGAGAACCGAAGTGGCTTCTGGGGTTGAGACACTCCGGGGCGTGACACTTTCCTTCCTGCCCTGTTTCCCTTTGCTCTTGAATTGACGCTTCGACCAGCTTTTCTCAAACTGAGTTAAACATTAGAATCGCCCGAGGAATTCAGAAATCTTGCTGCCAGGACCAGATCCCCAAAGATTTTAACTTAATCGGTCGGGAGTGGGGCCCGGGCCTTGGGGGTGCCGCATCTCCCCAGATGATCCTAACTGTGCAGCCAAGTCGAGAACCGCTGTCTTAGATCTTCCCCCTTACAGGGATGTCAAGAAGCTAACGAGAAGCTAGCAGTCCCCAAACTCTGTTTCAGACCATAGCTCCAGCCTTCTTAAAGCAAACCTTGACTCGGCCCTGCTCACCTTTGCTCAGGTTCATGGCGGCCCACGTTTCAGAACTGACAATGCTGAAGCAGTCCCCAAAGCTGCCATGTGTGTCCCTGCTGCATGCCGGGCACTGTTCTAAGCACTTTGCATATGTTAACTCATCCAATTCAGTCCACACATCAGCACTAAGAGGCCTCTGCTGATACTGTCCCCATTGCACAGATGCGAAGACTGTACATGGAGTAGATAAGTCACCTGCTTGGGCCGGTAGGGCCAGAGCTCGGATTTGAAGACAGAGCGCTGGCTCTGGAGGCACCATTATAACCACTCTGTCTGTTGCTTTGCAGAAGGATGTGAGAGCCGTGGTACCCTGGCTCCCACGTGGCTGGAGATGTGCCCTCGCCAGTCGATCCTTTGCAGTGATGGAGGGACATAGATCTGTTCTGTCACTGTGCTGTCCAAGAGTCCCTGTGACTCCCCACGGTGTCTGTAAGGGAAAGACAGACTCCATGAGGGACGCGCAGCCTGGCCACCGGCAGCCGTTCCCTTCACACTCCCTGCCGCGTGTGCTGTGAGGACCGTCTGGAAGTCCCCTCCCCTTGCTCCCTCTGGTGAACTCCTACACTCCAATACCTGCTTCAGATGTCCTGTCTCTCACATATGCGGGAAGAGTCGGTGACGCTTTCCTCTTTGTTCCCAGAGCTCCTGGTCCCTCCATCTCTGATGACACGGACCACAGCCTTTCTCGGTCCCCTCCAGTAGCTCATGAGTTCCTCATGAGTGGAGCTCTGCCTTACTCACGTTCGTTCTGTCCTTGGCGTCCACCATGTTGTCACCAGTGGACGGCCAGCCCCGCACATGGAGGGTGAGCTGCTTCGCCTCAGGGTCCACCTTGTTTCGGCCACGGAGACACATTCTCCTTATCGTCCGACAATCAGGATTTTCTGTTCGTAATGAATGCTTTCCTTCGAGGTGCCTCGGGCTCCAAAATACATAATTGACATTTATTGCGTTTTCCTAGATGTTAGATTTCCTAAAATCCCAGGCTATGATTTTAGAGGAATCTTGAGCTCCCTGGAAAATTGCCTGTTTCCAGCCTTGGGCTCTCTGCATTCCTGACTTCTCAGGGCCCAGAAAAAAAGGGAAGAAAGCCAGCCAATCCTGGGAACAGCCCATGTGAGGAGAGTGTAGTGTCTTGCATAGTGTCCAGCTTGGTTCCTGAACTTAGCCGTCGTGGGACGGAGGAGGCAGGGGCAGGGGGCTTGGTTTCTCGGAGACCAGAGGTGAAATATCTCCTCATGTGCCATTGTGGGAAGGACAGTGGTCACTCACCAAGGCAGAATAAGGAGCCTGGCCGGAGTCTGAGGGTGGAGGCGGCCACATGGGAGCCACTAGCCTGAGACTTCGCTCCTGCTACAGTAAAGAGGACAGAAAAGTCAAATTTAAAAGATGCGGAATGGATTCTCAGAGTTGATTCTGCAGAAATACATGCATAGGTACAGGTGGATTGAATTGGATCTTCATCTCAACATTATTTGAAAGAGCAAACAATGAGACACGATCTATCCATTTACTTATTTATGGCATACAGTGCCTAGTTTATAATCAGATGACTGGACATGTAAATGACAGGAAAGTGTGACCCAAACTCAGAAATAGAATTGAGCTGAATAGAATTGTGACCGAATAGAATTGAGCTGCTTCAGCTAAACTCACACTTGTATGATAATCGATTATTTTTATTAAATAGACATTTTTTTAGAGCAGTTTTAGATTCACACACAAAACAAATTAAGCAAGAAGTACAAGAAGTTCCCGCATACCCCCGTCCCCACATGCACACAGTCTCCCTGTCAACACCCGCCATCAGAGTGGTGTGTTTGTTCCAAATGACAAAGCTACACTGATGCATCATTATACCCAAAGTTCATACTTTATGTTAGGGTTCACTCTTGGTGTTGCACATTCTATGACGAATGTAAAATGACATGCGTCCACCATTGTGACGTCATATGGAATAGTTTCACTGCCCTAAAAAAATCCTCTGTGCTCCTCCTATTCACTTCTCCTAATGAGACACAATATAAATGCTCCTCAGTTGGGAATTGGTTGATACGATTATCCATAAAATAGAATACTATACAACTGTTTAAGAGAATCAGTGCCTTTCTGAAGCAATGACAGTCTTGAAGCTACATTAACTATCACGAAGCAATGTCAGCCTTAATCATGTTGATTTTTAAAAGGAGAGCTTAGTACAGTGTGTAGAGTGTGCGAACAGCTACACTAACTCAGCCACCAATCCCAGACCAGCCACCTGTACTTCCTGCGTGTACACTTGACACACTCTGTTGTTCTTGCCTATTGCTGACCTGGAAGTCCAGGAGGCAGGACCTGGTCTGTCCATTCGTGGTGATATTGCCGAGGTTCAGCCCAGAGCCAGGCACGTAGTGGCCTCCCCATTGGTATCTGAATGTGTGAACCGTTTCACAGTTCCACAGGTCCCTTCTGTCTGCTGCTTCTCAAATGCATGAGGCCGGAAGGGCAGCCCCGGAAGTCCCTTTTCCTAGGTCCTGTCCCTGACCTCCCCTCCCTGCCCTTGAGAGTGTCTCTGCTCCGTAAGGCCTCCTCAGCCACCCCAGGTTACAGAGACCAAGGAGAAGGGGGAGAGGCTCGAAATGGACCTCTGAGAGGATCGTATGTAGCTGACATTGTCACTTCGGTCAGGCAGATCTGACTTCGTTGATTCGTTCAGTTGTACAGGCCAGGCGACCCAGCCGCCGGATCAGACTTTGGTGTGACAGCACGCCGGTGAGTCAGACCTGCTGGGGTTTGAGGCCACACTCTGGCTGTGTGAACTCGGCCATGTTCCTTCACCTTGCTGAATCTCGATTTCCTGATCTATCAGGGGATGCCAAAACTCTTCTCCTGAAGTATTGAGGGGATTAAATGTGCTCACATAAGTGGGAGTGCCCTTTGAGGAAGGAGGAAGGCGAAAGTGCTTATTGTGTAGGGCGAATGTGAGGAAGGCCCCCCTCACTGAGAACTATTGTTCTCAGGTGCCTCCTCCTTCCTGGGGGGAGAAATCCCAGCTCCAAGTCAGATACATTATAATTTGGCTCTTGCTCCTTTATTCAGTGCACTTGTCTCAGCCGCCCAGGGCTCTCAGCTTAAGCAAATAAATGATCCTGCTCCGCCTGGCTCTGTGTTCTGTAGCCAGCCATATGTTTGAGCTTGATAGAGATTCTTATCAGCGGGGTAATATTACCAGCGAGGGATGACATTGCTTATCAGAGGCCCTGCGGAATCAGAGATAGCAGTCCTTTCTTTCAGCCGCAGCCAGGCCTCCTGTGCAGGGCTGGCTGCAGGAGGGCAAGAGGGCAGGCCAGAGCCTGGGAGTGGGCAGCCTGGGCTGTGGTGGGCATCGCCCGCCCTCGTTTTTCAAGACAGCCATTCCCAGTAGCCTGCCTTGCCGGAAGTAGGCCATTTTGAGGTTTTTGCATATGATAGAGGCCGGGCAGGGCCTGGGGGTGTGAATGAGGACGGAAGGCTGGAGCCCCTGAGGGTGGAAGGCAGAGCTTCGTGGGTGGGGCCTTGCGCTGGTACAGAGAGGCAGGTGGCCCCCAGCTGCGGAGCCACGTCCTATGGCATCTGCCTTGTGGCTCTGCAGAGCGGAAGCAGCTGAGGCCAGGCACCCACCAGAGTCTTGGCTGTGGGAGTGACGAGGTGGCGGGTCACCTCTGTGTCTTCCTCTAGAACCCCCCTGGTCCCTTCTGCCCTGCTTCGTGCCCGGGAGGCCAGTCTGTGTGGGCGGAACAGGATGGTGCCATGCAGGGCTCTGCGCTCGCAGCCTCTGTTTGGGAGGCGCGGGCAGGATGGATCGGGGTGTGGTCAGGCTGTTTATTCTGCTTCCTCCCCGCTCTGTCCCTGATTGACACAGGCAAGGCCTACACAGAGGGAGGGCCCTGCGTTTGAATCCTGATTTTGACACTCACTCGCCGTGTGATATTGGGCAAGTTGTTTAACCTCTCTGTATCTCCGTTTCTTCATTCATAATATTGGGGTGACCCCACTTTTCTTGCTGTGTCTCTCTTCCGCCCTGAGGTACTGGAGGAAGGGGCACTGCCACGTCTGCCTGGGCCCGTCTGGGGCCACAGCTCCCTGCCGACTAAGCAGCTCTGGTGTGGGCAGAGGAGGTCGGAGTGACCACATGATTTGGGTACTGCAGCCTCTGTTGGGGACAAGTGCTCAAGCTTCTTCCTCCCCTGATTTTTGGGAAGTCCTGTCCTGCCCAGCCCTGCTCTCAAATAATCATCTTGCTATCATCAGAAAGGGAAGGAGAAGTGGTTTTTCCCTCTCCCTGGACCTTGTCCAGCCAGCGGTCCTGCCTGTGCTTCCGACGCGTTGGCCCCACTTCCTGTTTCCTTCCCTCTCTCCTCTCCTCTCCTGGACTTCACGCTGGGCGTGCTGAGTTCTCCTGTTTTACTGAGTTTCCCTGTCCCTCACCTCCTGATGGCCAAATCCAAATTCTGAACACACAGCTCTGACCATGTGCCGCTCCACTTAAACTAACCTGGCCTCCTAGCGTGGCATTTAAGGATCAGCTAAACGTCCCCCCACCCTCTGATCCCACCCCGGTCGCCTCTGAACCTCTCATGCGGGGCATCAGTCCTGGTAGGTGGGTCTCGTCCCTGTCTTTCCAACCTGCCACTGTCTTTCTTTGACTTTCATGCTTCTGTCCCACCTCTCCGCCCCTCTGCATGCTGGGAGTGCCTTCGGCAGCTTCTCTTTACTGCGCTTTGCAGATGTTGCGATTTTTACAAATGGAAGGCAAGGCCCTCCACCAGCAGAAAGGTCACGGCTCGCTTCGTTTAAGCGATCTGGAACCGAACCGGCAGCACCTCCGAGCCGTGCCTGTGCACACGTCGGTATCGTCATCAGCCTGAGCGTTCTGACCTGTGAGACTGTGCGAGGTAGTACCACCTGATGTCCGAACGAGCTCCTCGGAAGGGCTGTGTTTTCCTGAGCATGTTCCATCCCTCCGAGGTGGACCGAGGCAGTGGTTTATGAGACAGGAACGGGGTGAGGTCAAGTTTCCCAGCTGGCTTTGGAGCGGACCAGAGTTTCTTCAGGATGGTGACAATGCTCCCGATTAATTATCATAACGAGTCTTCTGTTGTCCCGTCTGACAGTCGGTATCAGCCCCAGTCGAGGGGACCGACTGGTGGGCTGGGGCAAGGCCAGCACATGCCATCATGGGCCCAGCTGGTTCCGTCCTTGTGTTTCACAGGTCCCTCATACAATGGGTTTCAGGGAAAAAGAAATTTCCTGGCCTGCTTGATACCAATTAGAAGGAAGCAGTGGCTTCGACGAGGGCAAGGAAACAAAATGCAGGGAGAGCGATAAGCTCTTGCCAGTCCAGGGAGCTGCTGGGTGGCTGCAGGGAGCGTTCCGAGGTGGTGGCAGGTGTGCCGTCTCGCACAAGGTAAGTCGGAATCCGGAATCCAGCATGGCAGTAGAGGGGTCTTAACCAGCAGGAGGAGCAGAGCCCGGATGTGGGGTTCCTGGGTTTGGAGGTTCTGTCAATGACTTACTGTGTTGCTACAGAGTGAGTGACACACCCTGTCCCCTAGTTTCTTTATAGTGGCAAAGTGGAGTTTGCTGGACTGTCCCTCCAGTGAAAAGTGAGAACTATGGCGATGACCTGTGTGTGCTTAAGACGAAGCTCCAGAGAAGCACGGAAAGAACTTGACAGTTGTTTGGAGATCACCAAGCTAAGGCGGGGAGCTGAGTCCCATAGAGGCGGAATACGGTGCCCGGTCACTCAGCCAGCTCAAGGCGAAGCCAGCTCCTGGGACCAACTGCGGTTTTCTTCCTCCTTTTCCAGTAGATGTTCCATGCCACCATCTTTGTTCCTGTCACCTTTGTTCCTTGACGGAAGCACCTACGGTCCCTTTCCGCCATGCCGGTTGACTTCATACTCTGGGCTTTTTCCTGAGTGGCTTCGGTGTAGCTGGTGGCCTCTTGCCACACGCATTAGGCATCTCCGGTTTCATTCGACAGCCTCTGACTGCGGGTCTCATTGGTTTTGCTAGTTGTGTGGTCCGTACAGGTAAATCATGACTGTAGGCTGGGAGTGTTGGGTCCAGGTCTGCAGAACTAAGTGGGAAATGCCGTGTGATAATTAATGACAGGTGTCACCTTGGCCAGGCCATGGTCCTGTTGGTTCTGTTTCTCTGGAGAAACCTGATAAACGTGAGCAGACTTTAGAATGACACAGATTCAGGTCCAAATTTCAGAACTGCCACTGCCCAGGTTATTTCTGTAACTTCGCTGGGCTTTAGTTTCTCTGTCAGTGAAATGGAAATAATATGAATCCTTGCTACATGGGTGGCAATAAAGGCTAAACAGGACGATTAATGTAAAAGCACTTAATATACTGCCTGGCACAGCGCCCAGCAAATAACGCTGATTCTTCTACAGGTCGTAGTTGTCTGTGACCCACGTATGTGCACGAGTCACTTATCTACTCGCCGCCCCACAAGCCACCCCAACACTTAGTGGCTTTAAACAAGGACAGCTTATTTCCTCATAGTCTCGTTGGGTGGCTGAGTCCTGCTGGGTGGTTCTTCTGTCCCACTTGGAGTCATCTGGAGGCACTTGTGGCCGCATTCATGCTGAAGCTGCGAGGCCAACGTGGCTTCACTCATACCTCCAGTGCCTCAGTGGGGGTGATGAGTGGCTGGGGCATCTTTTCCACGAGGTGTCATCATCAATCGTCCAGCCCAACCTTCAGAGGATGGAACCTGGGTTCCAAGTGACCGGTAAAGTGAAAGCCACCTGGCCTCCCAAAAGCTAGACTCAGAACCAGCCCACATCCCGAGCGCTGGACGCAGAACCGGCCCACACCCCGAGCGCTGGACGCAGAGCCGGCCCACACCCCTTCCATCACAGTCAGCTGGACGGACGGGCAGCCACACGCCAGCCCAGACTCAGTGGCAGGAGCGATCGGCTCCACTCGCAGCGGGAAAGACAGCAGCTCATAGAGAAATGGGAGGAATTCTTGGCAAACGTCGCTGGCTCCGCCCACCCCAGGGCGCGAGTCGCTTTCTATGTCTGCGAGTCTCAGTCTCTATCCTCTTTAACCTCAAGGATTATCTGTTCCGAGGTAGTGAGCACAACAGAAACGCTGGAGCCAGCTTGTCTTGCTGCAGATCTTGCCTCTGCCACTAACTAGCTGTGTGGCCTTAGGCAAGTTTCTTATCTCTCCGTGCCTCAGGGTCTTCATCAGGGAAATGGGGATGTTATCCATTCTAGAGCAGAGCATGTGCGAGGATTAACTGAAATACATCTGTGTGTGGAGTGTCTGTGCATATGCATGCCTGTGTATATATGGCTGTGGACCTATACACGTATGCACATACGTATATATGAGTGTGTGTATGCGTAGGCATGTTCATACACATAAGCGTGTCTATATTTGTGTGTGCACATGTATGCGCATATGTGAATGCATATGTATATGTGTCATTGTTGATATGCGTGTGTGTGTGTGTGTGTGTATGTATAAATCTAGTGCATAGCTCATAACTGAGATTTTCCTGGTTTATACGTATGTTTGTGCCTTGCGCGGAAGTCCCAGCCTGCCTTGCCCTGCGTCTGGTCCCAGTGTTTTCTAGATAATTTTAAAGTTGGACCTGAGAGCTGCCGCCTAGCTGGGTCTCGAACGGAGGCCTTCCAAGGCTAATTAATGACTGTGCTAAAGCCTGCCCTTGGGAAGCATCAGAAGTATCAGTGGGTCCTGGTAAAATACCAATTATTCCTGGGCCTCAGCCCTGGCCTGTTGAAACTGAGAGAGACTGAGAGTTTGACTATTTAACCAGTCGCTCTGGGGCTTTTTGCTGGGAACTCCCACGACGCTGCTTTTCCTGGTGGCTGGTCTCCTGGCTGCCCAGTGCTGCCTCCGGTGGTACCATCTTCACTCTGATTACGATGCTCTCCTTTCCCCTCCCAGAAATACCTGCTACGTTCTACTCCTACACAGCCAGGATCCCGGAGGCGTGCAAAGCACCGGGCCAGTCTCATGTTTGAATTTCCATTCCAATTTAGCATTCCCACCTCCCCGAGGAGGACGCCGTATCCTCCTGTCACCTTTTCCAGGCTGAGCTGAGGTCAGGTTTAGCTCTGGGTGGCCAGACCACCCTGGGCCTCTCTCCCTTTCATTACCAGCTGATTTCCCCCAGGGTACAGCTTCTGGGTGTTGCAGCCCATTGCTTTGTTAGTTCCCTGAATCTTCCCACTAAGAAAAAAACACAGAGCACTGAGGCTGTATAATATAGTGCTCTAAGTATTACCCTACGAGAAAGATATATTTCAATAATTTATCCTGAAGCTAGGCGATAATAAGTAATTTACAAAAGGATGTGGAGCCAGCATTCAAACCCTCGTCCACCTCGCCTCTAATATACCAGAGGTGAGACAAGTGAGATTTCTTTAAAGGTTGTAGGACCTAAATACGTCCCTTTAACGTAGTTGAGCAGAATCTCGCAGAGAAAATTTTTTCCCATTTAAAATGTGCAGACTGCCCTTGGGGTTATAACACGTTCCAGAAAGTCAGGAGCCGCCTGGCGCTGGCCGCACGGGAAGGCACACGGTGTGTGAGGCTGGCCGGGGTGCGGCCGCTTGGAGTCAGGCTGCTCACTGCCTGCCTCTGTCCGGTCTTTCGGTTGTAAACATGTTTTCCTCCTCGCACTTTGGAATCCGTCGTGGTTTAAATTCCAGGTTGTAAACCCTTGTAGACAGGGGTTCGGATCTTGGCATTAACCCGCCCCCCGGTTATGTGTGCGGGGCTGGGTCGCTGCTAAAGGCTTTCTAAACTTTAGCCGATGCTCACAGCTCCGTGGAGAGAGAAGATGCCGAGGCAAACAGCCTTCCGTGGGGGAGCCACCGGCCTGGCTTCAAGCCCAGCACGTCTCATCACGCTACCGGGAGTCCTTTGTTTAAGAGGTTGTTACCTGAGTGTGTGTGAAGGGTAATGGAGGCTGGGTTCGAATTATGGGGAAAATCGCCTCCCTTCTTCATGAGGGATTTCCCTGTCCCCTCTGCCCGCATGGTGGAACAGCTGACCACTGTGTGCACTGATGCGGGTGCCCGACCCACTTCCCCACGGAGCCTGGAGCTCTTTCCATCCGCCCCACCTGCCTCCAGGGACTCCGTCGCTGTCCCTGGCTTGTGATGGACTCTCCTAGTGATGTGTCAGCCGAATTAATAAATAACAATTGCACATTACCAATCAGACTACTTTGGGAGTGTGGAGCTCCTGTCTGGGCACCCGTTGGCTGCATTTCTTATTACAGAGCACTAACTACCTCTTCCGGAAAAATCCCCAAGTCCAGACAAACTAAAGAAAGAAGCTAAAAACATTCAGAGATGACTAATTAAATGAACGGATACATATGTGCATACACACACGCACACAAACACACACACACATACTTAAAATTGTTTGGTCATATATATTAGCTTGTAGGCTATTCAGGTTGCCATGTACCCCTTATGGAGTTTGGACCCATCTCGCCTTCCACCGTCTCCTGAGCCCCCCGGCAGGAAGCTGGCACGAACGTGCCCATTGCAGCCTCTTCTCTTTGGCACGTAGCACAGACCAGACACAGGGTCATTCACAGCCTACGTGTCCCTTCTTCAGAGGGTCTCCGTCCCTGCGGACTGTGTGATGCCCCTATTCCCCTTCCAGCCCTTGATTTCTGTAACACGCGTCTCTAATTAATTAAATCATGATTCGTGGTGTTGGGAGCCGAGCCCGAGTGGGTCTGTTGTGTTCTGGCGGCCGGCATGGTATTTTATAATGGTCAGAAGCAAGGGCTTGTGTCAGAAACACCCGGATGTACTACGGCTCTGCCCTTGTCATCTGAGTTACCGCGTGACCTGCCTCGCACAGTGATGGTGACTTTTAAATGAGATGGCACGTGAAGAGTGCCGCACACTTCACAGCTTCCCCCGGAAGAACATTCAGCCGTTGTTGCTTGGGGTGTGGTTGGTGGGTGGCGAGTGCCTACACTGTGCCCGGCATTGTTCTGAGCGCTTTACATCAAGTTGGCGAATTGCGGGTCATCGGCCATATTCCACCCACCACCTGTTTTTGTAAAGCCCACGAGCTAAGAATGGTTTTTACGTTTTTAAATGGTGGAGAAAAGTCGAAAGAACAATCATATTTTGCGATGCATGAAAATTACGCAAAATGTAATTTCAGCATCTATACGTAAAGTTTTATTGGAACACAGCATGCCCTTTCTTTTGCATAAGTCTATGGTGGCTTTTATGCTACAGTGACGGAGATGAGTAACTGGGACATAGATGGTGTGACCCATAATGCTCAAAATACTTACTGAAAGAGTTTGCCAACCCTCGGATTACATGTATGAGCTCATCTAATCCTGCACAAGGCAGGCTGTTATTGTCACCATCCTCATTGTACACATGGGGAAGCGAGGTACAGAGAAGTTAAGAAATTGCCCAAAGTCACTCATGGCTTGAAAGCGGTGGAGAGAAGGGTTTGGTTCCCAGAGCTGGGGCTCCTAATGGTTCCACCGTAGGGCATGGCGCTGGCCTTCGCGGGTGAGGGACGTGAAGCACGAAGAGGTGAGGTCGTGCACCCATGAGTGGCAGAATCCGGATTTAGAACCAGTCCAGGGACCTCGGAGCTGTTGATCTTTCTCTCATAACGGACTCTTTCCACCTCTGCAGTCTCCTGGCATCACCTGCTAGATACAGGACCAAACACACAGAGGCGTTCAGTCCGTCCTGAGAAATTCAGGAACCTGAGAGCAGCGAGCTGGATGGCACGGCGAGATATGGTTATGCACTGAATTCAGACTTAGTAAATGTTTGTGGGATGAATGAGTGGATGGATCTGGTTAATAGTTTCTGAACTCTTAAGAGTTTAGACTCTGGAGACAGGATAGGGACCCCTGGGGAAAGCAGTGGACCCCAGGACCAGGGAAAGAGACCTTCCTGGACGTCAGTCATGCTCCTCCAGTGGTGTGGGGGAGCTTGGGCCACAGTGCCAAACACTGTTCTTCAGTTAAAATTCCACTAAAGAAGACCGCTGTCGTTTCCACGCCTCTGGCTTTGCTTTTGTTAATTATGAATGTTTGGTTTCTTTAAACGGCTTTGTTGAGATAGAATTCTCATGCCATACAGTTTACCAATCTTGGCACATTTCCAAGACCTCAAAAAGCAAGTCTGGACCCTTACTATCGCCTCCCAGCCCCCTTCCACCCCCAGTCCTAAGCAACCTGTAATCTACTTTCTGTCGCTGTTCGGGATGTTTCCTGTAACGGGATCATAGGAAATGTCTTTCATGACTGGCTTCGCTCACCTGGCATGAAGTGTTCAGGGTTCATCCACGATGTCTCGGGTATGTGTACTTCATCCCTTTCTATGCCCGAATACTATTCCATTGTATGAATATAACGCCACATTATGTATGTTCCTTCATCGGTTGATGGACATCGGGTGGTTTCCATCTTTTGGTTATTATGAATAATGTGGCTCTGAAGGTTTACGTACAAGATTTTGTGTGGATGTAAGCTTTTATTTTTCTTGTGTATGTAAACCTAGGAGTGGAATCGCTGGGTCATATGGTAACTGTGTGTAACCTTTCGAGAAAGTACCAGGTTGTTTCTCAGGGTGGCTACCCTGTTTTTCATTCCCCCTGGGACGTGCCATTCATTCATGCTCCTCTTTAAACATAACTTGATTCCATGTATATGGATTTTTAGAGCATGCAAAATTAGTTAACGGTGCTAGAAGTCTGTGCAGTGATTGCCTCGGGGAGGAGGGCAGAGACCGCGATGAGAAAGGCACAGGGCACTTTGTGGGCGAGGGAAATTTTTTTTGTGTGTCTTGGTGGTTTACTGCTTTTTGGTGTATGCATTTGTCAAAACTCATCAAACTGTTCATTTAACATCCGGACATTTCACTGGGCGTTAATTATGCCCAAATTAAGGAAAAAAAAAAAAAAAAGCACACACACGAAAAAAGCATAAGTGGAAAGGGGAAAAAGAAAAAAATATATATAAATTATGTCATGACATGACTTAAGCTTACCCACCTTCCCCTGGACAGAGGGCCTGTGCCTGGCAGGCAAGGCCAAGTGTAAAGGTTTTTAATTGATGTGATTAACTACATCTCAATAGGGAGCCTCGTTAACATCTAGGGGAAGGAAAAGGAGGTTATTTTCCACTCTTCCAACTAGGGGATGCTTGGAAGGGGGTCAAGGGGGCACTTGGAGGGCTGCGCCCTGCAATGGGAGGAAGGAGCTGCATTTACCTTTGGCATTAAAGATACATTTAAAAAAAAAAAAAGTTGTTTTCTCGGTCGCTGCCAAAACTGCCCTCCATTTTCATCTATGGGGAGGAGGAAACTAACCGGATTTTTAAAAATATGTTTTTCAAGGCTGCATCATCCACTAGAACACAGCATTTAGACAGAACACTCTTAATCCTTCCTAAACGCATTAGTGGCCGACGAACAGACAACAGGAAACAAACAAAAACAGAAGTGAAAGGTTTTCTCTCTCCCCCTTAGAATATGCAAACAAATTCATGAATGGACATAAATTCACAGAAGATTAGGTTTGGGCAAGCCTCATTAATTATCCACATTAAAGAAAATCAATATTATAAAATTTTTTAAATTACAAAAATTGCTACATTTTATTTGTTGGCTAGAAACAAACATTTGGCTAGGAGAAAAAAACGCCTAAAAGTATAAACAACACTTATTTTGGGGAAGATGTGATTATATGTGCTTTTTTTTTCCTGATTGCTTATCTATGATTTACTTTTTTCCAATGGCCATTTATTGCTTATGAATTAAATCGTTAAGGAATTATTTTAGTCCTCTCACTGAAGAGATGTTTCCTTGGGTTTTCCTCTCTCTGGAGCAGACTCCCCTTCCTAGCTAACTGTGGGGTTAGATAGGTCAGGGTTTGATCACGCAGGATCTTGGGGGAAGTCACAGATCTTTTCAATACTCTCCCCGATGAATTGGTGTCAAATGTACAGGGGAAAAACTCCAGCATAGTACTTGGCCCTCGGTATCAGTTCCTTCTTTTCCAACCCGCTTTTAATCGGATACATTCTTGGTGCCTGGTAGCACTCAGCATTAAAGTCTAGAACAGCGGTCCCCATCCTTTTTGGCTCCTAAGAGAATCTAATGGATGATCTGGGGTGGAGCGGAGCCGGTGATGCTAGCGCTGGGGAGCGGCTGCAAACACAGATGAACCTTCCCTCACTCTCTCGCCATTCACCTCTTGCAGTGCTGCCCAGTTCCAGCACCGGTCTGTGGACCGAGGTTGGGCTGCATCCTTAAAAGCTTAAACACACCTGCACAGGATATTTGGTGTGTGTGTCTGTGCGCGCATGCACACAAGCAGGTATGCAGCACTCGTGTGCGTGGCTCAACATTAAAGAACACCTCCCTCCCGTGCATGAGTTAAGACTGCTCGCAGCTGGAACTCATATCTATCACAAACCAAAGGTAGAACGAATTACAGCAAGCATCTAGGTGACAGCACCATTTGTGTTCTCCCCTGTAGCACGGTCCCTGGCATGTGGCTTGGGTCTTCAAGCATTGTGCCGGATATGTTGGAAATGTTCTCTTCCTGCAGATCAGGATAGTTGAATGCTGTCCCAGGCCGAGTGTATTGTTTTTCCCCGCCCCCCCCCCCTAGGGCTGGGGGAGGGCCTCAGCAGAGAGTGAGTCAGGGTTTTGCAAAATGTGTTTACCCTGGTGGAACATGCAGGGTACACGTGGGCAGAAGAGATTTGCAGGCAATCAAAACAGGAGTCATGAGCCGTGATCTCTGTTTCGCCTCCTTTTTTTCTGCTTTCTTTCTCCAGAATTGCCTCTAGAAGCCCCTGTTCGCTGCTTCTTTTCCTGGCAGTGGTTTTCAGACTTCAGTTTGCAAATGATCACCTGGGAAGCTTGTGAAATGCAGATTCCTGCACCCCTCCCCCACCCCCCCACCAGGTTTTCTAACTCAGCAGCTCTGGGCGGGGCCCGGGAAATGGTCCATTTGACCAGAGGGGCACTAGAAGCAGAGTGCCTGGGACCTCTCAGGATTGCAAACAAGGTTGAGAACAAAGGCAATTGTTAGTTTCAGAAAGTAAAAACAAGGCTGAAAGATTCAAATAGTGATACATATTTATGTAACTTTATAGCAATTTATCAGATACAGCTCAGCTTTTGCAGACAAATAGGAATTATTTTTAATGTAGGTTCTGCATAAGTCTAATATATCTGATATGCTATATGCCAGGCCTACAGAAGCCTGGGAAAAGCCCCAACCTCGTGGACCTAGCTCTGAGAAATAAAGCCCAAGATGATCTCTTGTTTTTAGCATTTCGTTCGGAAGGGCCCTTAGAAGTGTTCTTTAACGCCCAGGTTTTACCATCGGGAAACCAAAATCTAGAAGGAGGATGACTTGTTCAAGGTCATGTAACAAGTTTCTCGGAGAGTCCGGACTAGAGCACAGAGTTTACAGCTCACGTGTGTGCACATGCGTGCGGGGCTTGTTACGTGTCCCTCAGTGGTCTCTTTCTTTCCCATCGCTCTTTCACTTTGGCTTCTCTCCCTTTTGTTCCCCGTGTCCTCAGGCCAGTCTGGCACCCGGTTTGGAACCCCGAGGGGTGCGGAGGAAGGTAGTGTGGGGTCTCGGGGTGGAAACTGCTAAGCAACAGGCAGAGCATGTGACAAAGCCAATCTTCAGCTTAATTCCCTGCAGAAGAAGGGTTGAGTCGTTCCCTTGAAGCCAAGGCATGAAAAGCTGGCAGACTTCTCAGCACCCACTGAGCACCTACGAGGTGTTGGGTGTTGAGTGCAGTGGGGGACGGGAGTGAACACAGCTGACAAAACCCCTGCCCTCAGGGAACTTATATTTGTTCATCCGTCCATCCATCCGACAGGTACCTGCTGAGCACTGTACTACATGCCCTACTACAGTACCCTACTACACCCCATCTGTACAAGGCAAATACGGAGCTTAGATTCGAGTGGGGGAGACAGGCAGTAAGCAAGATGCCAGATCTATGCACAAATAAGACATTGCCAAATACTAGGAAGAGAGTTAAAGAAAATAATGAGGAGTGGGGTGGCCGGGTGCAGGGCACCCCCGGGGACAGGGCGGTACTTACTCCAATGCTAAGTGGCCTCTCGCCGCATACAAACCAGCAGCTTATTGACAAGCACATGGCCTTTGGGGGTAAAGACCTGTTGCATCTTGAAATACCACCGCCCTGTAGTAAGGTGACATGTTAGTATCGCAGCTGGCATTTGTTGGCCGCGGACTCTGAGCTGGAAACGGCTTCCATCGTCTTAACGTGTGTCCTCTGCCTCAGTTATCACGGCGTTGCGATGCGGTTGGTGGTACTATTCGTATCGTGTCGGTTTGCGGAAACCGAGGCACAGGAAGGTAAGCGACTTGCTCAGTCACGGGGCTAAGGAGTCTAAATCAGGATGCCCACCTAGGCAGCTTGCCTCCACCGCTGTGCCTTATGACTTCTAGATTTCCTACCTTCCTTTCCCGGGGACTGTAAGGAAGTCGGTGTGAAGTTGGGAGGAGAGCGTGGGCTACAGAGTCAGGCCCATGCTTTGCTATCCGGACCCCTCAGCCTCCCTGAGCCCCAGGTTTCTCATCGGGAAGATGGGAGTGAGGATGCCTATCTTGCAGTGTCGTTAAAGGGGCCAAAGGAAATGGTAATATTTTAGGACGTTTGCCACTCGGTAAATGTTTTAAGACATTTTAAAATAAATTCTTGCTGGTCGAATGAATGAATGGTGAATTCCACATGCCCTGAAAGGTGACGTACTTAAGCCTTTCATTTTTTTCTGACTCTCTGCCTTCTGGAGATTAGGATTGTACTTTCTTGCCTGCTGTGACCAGTTCTGGCCAATGAGTAATGAACAGAAGTGGCATGAAATTCCTGGGTCTTCAACCTGGAACGCTAACGAGAGGCCCTCCAGAGGTGTGCTTCTGTCCCTGTCTGTCTGTCTGTCTGTCTCTTTCTCTCCAGCCCTGTGCCCTTGTGCCTGGTAATGTTCCTTTCAGTCCGATCTGGATGGTGCTAGCAATGAGTGCCATCTCTGGCTGACCGTGATGGACAGATAGCCTGAGTGAGCAATTAATTTTTACTGTTTTAAGCCACTGAAATTTGAGAATACATGTTAGTGCAGCATAGTATTGCTGCTCCTGACTGACCGAACCTGAAAGGCAAAGAGATTTGAGCTGCCTCCCCCCGGATCGATTGGTAGGGTCTGCCTGGAGCCCTGAGGTCCCATCTGGGCGCCGAAGGATTGGTGATGTCTGCCGTGCTCGCAGGTGGGACCTGGAGGCTCTGGCGTCTCACGCTTCCTTCCCTTCTGTACCTCTTGGGGGCGTTCCTAACTGGGTTCTTTCTCTAGTGCATCCTGAGGGCGGCCCCAGACGGACCACCCCATAAACCTCTCTCATTGGCTTTACGTGGTCTTCACCCTTCTCTTCCTCGGCACAGACTCCTCTGCTTGGCTTTCGAGGTCCTCCAAGTTCTGGCTCTCTGCTGCAGGCTTAGATCACAGGCCCCTCTGCTGATGCTGCCCGTCCACCCGCCATCCACCTATATCGTCATTTTTCAAAGTGGGCTCTCAGAGGACTTCCCTTTGCAGCTCACGTTGACCTGCTCTCCTGCACCCAGCCCGGACAGCGCCCACACTCGATCAGTCTTTGTCATGTTTCGTTATCTTTCGCTTCATTCCTCCATGGTTATCTAGCATTCCTCATGTTGAAATCTTGACTCCCTAACTAGGTTCTGCCCTGGAAGAATGGCCTCCGTGTCGCAATTCCTCACTGCAGTGTCTTGGTGATAACAGGCGCTTGAGAACTATGTTTTTAAAGAATTGGTTGGATTGGTGGTGCCGGGCCGGGGAGCAGTATTTATGTCCACTCCCTCCCTGAGCATTTTCCTTCAAATCCAGAGGTCACTTTTGAAGCAG